TTATATGTTAGTAGGTATGAGTCTATCTTTTTTAAAAGAAAAAAAAGGCAGCATCGTGTTCTGTTGTATGGACCATAATTTAATCCCTTTCTTAAGCTAGGGCTGTTTTCAGTTTATTTGCTCTTACAAACAGGACTGCTGTAGGCATCCATATGTATACAGCTTTGCCAATGTGTAAATCGTTGGATAGACTCTTGGAAGAGAAACTACTGGGTCAAAGAGTATTCAAACTTTATATTTTGAAACAAACTGCCAAATCTTATTAGAAGCCTTCACAGTGGACATTTCCAACAGTGTAGGAAAGTCTGTTTCTGCACATCTTATGTAATACTTGGAATCAAATCTTTGAAAACAAATTTATAATTTTTTAAGTAATGCATGCAGTTTGTGACACTTCTCTCATCAAGTTTTTGAATTTCTTTTTCTTTTAGTCTAAAGAGTTTTACATGTACAATAATTAAAAATCAAATATTTCACTAGGCTTATTTTTTAAAGAAAAACTCCGTGCCCCTACTCCTCTCCATGATCTAGGGGATGTAAATAATGTTTTGAAACCTTGCATCGTTATTCTGCCCTCAACACTTTTAGGATGATTTGGTTGGGCACAGAATTTCTAGAATGTTAATTAATCGTTTTCTTTGTGGATTTTAAAAAGTATTGCTCTGTTGCATCTAGCTTTGGATATTACTGCTCAAAAGTCCAAAGCTCTTTTGCCTTCTAATTTATTTATTCATCTAACAAATATTTATTGAACCTGTACTGTGTGTCAGGCACTGTTTTAAATGTTTGGGACACATCATTGAACCAGACAGATTGCCGTTTTCCAGGTGGTGAGGGGGGCTACAACAACAAACATAATAAATAAGTAAATTGTATAGCCTGATAGAAGGTCATCCATTTTACTGACAACAACAGAATAGAAATGGAGGAGGGGGAGGGAAGAGGAAGAGAGGTAGAATGGGCAAGGATTAGGAGGAGGGGTCAGTGGGCACAGTGCTGGGCACTGTTTTAAATAGAGGGAACAGGGTAGGCCTCATTGAGAAGGTAATATGCAAGCAAAGATTAGAAGAAGGTGAAAGAGTTAGTCATGTGGGTATCCAGGAGAAAAGTATTTTAAGGCAGAGGCCCAAAGGAGCAACCTAGCCTTATGGAACAAGGAGGCTAGTACAGTGAGTGAGGGAGAAAGAGGTAGGAGATAAAGTCAAAAGAGTAATGGGACACATCATCATATTGTGTAGGGCCTTATAGGCTGTTGTAGGATTTATCTATTACCTGCACATGGGAGATTTTAATGGATTTTTTTTGATTGCTGTGCTTGGAATCGGCGGGTGGGGTGGGAAACAAGGGTGGAAGCAAGGAGACTGGTTAGAAGGATATTGCAGTAATCCAGTTGAGAGATAATGAGGCATAGACTATATAGTAGTAGAGGTAGTGAGGAGTGGTTGGATTCTGGATATAGTTTTCAAGGAGGTACAGTAAGATTTCCTGGTGGTTTTAGATACAAGATGTGTAGAGAAGAATCAAGGATGACATGAAGGCTTGAAGGCTTTTGGACTGAGTATCGGGAAGCATGGAGTTTCCATCAAGTGAGGGGAAGGCTATTGTTTGAGTAGTCTGGGAGAGGGTAAGGAGCTCAGTTTTGGCCACCCCGCTGTAGAATGTCTAGGAGGGTGTACACATCTGGGGTTTAAGACACATCTGGAGGGTTTTTGTTTTTTAATCTGGGCTGGATATAAAAATCTTGAAGTCCGTGGCAGTATCAGTGGAATTTTAAAAATACAAGAGTGAATGAGATCACCAAAGTGAAGAAAAGTGGGCCATGGACAACTCCCAAATTCAAGACTTTGGGGAGAAGAGCAGGAATCAATACCAGGCAGGAGCCAGTGATCTGATCAAATCTGTCAGATGTTGGTGACAGCTCAAAACTTAAATACAAACAAAACTACAAAACCAGTAAAATTCAAATTATACTAATTATGAAAGTATTGAATACTGCCTGCTAAATTGAAGTCTTGAAACAGCATGAGTTATGGAATTGACTATTATGCTGTAAGTTCTTTTTGAGTTGAGCACACCAAAATTATCCCATATGTTGTGGTCACCACATGATGCATTTTCTTACCAATGTGTAAGTGCTTCAGTGAAAACCATGATGTCATTTGGGCTTCACTTCACACAAATGCATCATTTATATATTAGGTCCCCCTCTGTATTTCTCTTTAGCCTCCCATAATTAGAGTACTGTAGTACTAACTTGGAGCTAGTGTGACCATAAATGTAAATAGGAACATTCATTTACATGGCTAACAGGTGGATTCAGATGATTCAGAATGTGCTAATAAAATAAGGAAAATAAAACAAATTTTTGTAGAGAAATGTGGCACCCACCCCGAGAACAGAATCTTAGTTTGAGGAAAATTAGAGTCTAAGTTAATTCGTGTGTTATATCCTCATTTGAAATAACTAAAATGATTTGGTTAGAATTTCAGATGCGATGCTTATGAAGACACAGATTATAACTCCTTCAAAGGAATATAATTTCTTTTGAATAAGCCTCCATGAATTTTTTAATATGGCATTTCCCCCTATAAATTCCATTATTTTTCTGCAATAGTAGTAAAGAGCTATCAATATCAGTATATTGATATTAAGACTCTGGTGTGACTTTTTACCTCATTTCTTTAATTTCTTCGTCTCAAGCAATGTGTTCTTTTCTGTTTAGCTTAGTATCACCAACTCTTCATAGGTTACTACCAATTTAGATATGCTTTAAATTTTTGTTCTCTGTATTTATGTGTGTATTTACTTACCATTATTTGTCAGGAAAAATGGGAAGATGAATGTTACAGTGCAGAACTGGGTACAAGATATTTTATGAGGAAGATTTGAAAAGCATAGCTTAACATCAAGATGGAGCAAAAGAGCAAAGATCTACTGGAATGTGTGAAATTTTACATCCTAAGAGAATATAAAACATAATCAGGGTAGTGAACAGTTGTATTCAAACTCGGACATGTAACTAAGTAAATAGTATTTGGCTGCTTTTATCTAGACACTGTGAGCTTTGGTTATATCGCAGTAGTGACTGTGTTGTAATCATGACTGACATGGTTTCAGTAATTTCAAGTGAATTCCCCAAAATTCTGTTTAGTGATATGTGGTAGGACATAAAAAAGTTGAGAGCCTATTTTCGACCCTCTTCCTGCTTCTTTTACTCTTTTACTCTTCTTTTTTTGGCCGTACCATGTGGCATGTGGGATCTTAGTTCCCCAACCAGGGACTGAACCCGCACCCCGTGCAGTGGAAGTGTGGAGTCTTAACCACTGGACTGCCAGGGAAGTCCCCTGCTTCTTATATTTCTCTGCTCTTACCTCTCTTCTCGATTCTTTGCTTTGATTTAATGTCTGATGGTTTAATGACTGTTAGATTATACCACTTTGATACAAAAAATTTCAAAAAGCAACTACTTGCTATGACTACAGTTTTAACTTAAAGAATTTAGGGGACTTTTTTTTTTTTGGTCAATTTTTATAAACGTTGAAGATCAGTTGGATGCTAAGTTGAATATTCTGTGCCAGAATGAGAAGATTATACATACTTTTTTTTAGAGTTATTTGAAAGAAAATAAGATTCGGGAATGAAGCAGTCTGGCTCTGTTCTTATTACTTCTTAATTTTTCTGATCTTCAATTTCCTCATCTGCAAAATGGAGATACACCCTTCTTTATGAGTCTTAAATAAAGACTGGATATGAAGCTGCTGGCATGAAGCCTTACAGGTTGGTAGATGCTCGGTTTGAAGCTTCTTTCATAGCAAACTCTGTTATCTTTATCATGTTTCCGACAGTCCCAAGTTGAGGTTATGAAAATGAACACAGTACGTTGAAACAACAGTTTTCAGTAAAATCCTGTATAAT